GACTTGCCGGGTTACTTCCTGTTGGGTTCCAGTTTCCTTGGTTCCTCGTCTGCGCATCTTTGAAATAGTTTTCTCGTTTGATTCAAATTTGCGTACTGCAGGTCAAACATTTCGCACTTGAGTGACGCGTAGCCAAACCGATGCGAATCCCGAATGAAAAACACAATTGATCCGCAATGTTCTACGGTACTGAATTAACGAAATCATTAAAAATGTACAATAAAGTAAACCTCAAATATGCGGCCAAAAGCACTCAAACAAGCGAGCCAAATAAGATGTCTAGAGAGGGGCAAACACTCGCTCCCGTTCTCANCCGGGCATCCAAATTAACAGATAAATAATGACGTGTGGTGTTCCTGATCGAGAGATGTCAATATAAGAGCAACACACAGATAAAGTTATTTCACCATAACTCATTATGGGTTCGGAAGAATTTTCAAAAAATTTAGCATGAAATACAGTCTTTTCGTAACTCCTCCTGCCATGTACGGGTTTGTCGTTCTAAAAATAAGGAGCTAAATAGATTAAATTCAAGTAGATAGAGTGGATAAAGTACGTGCCAATCAATGAGTAGTTTACCGAAAAAAGTGGGCTCATCGCGGGTTTTGATAAAATGAACAGCAAGCTCGCCTTCCAATCAGCCATGGGATGAGATTGATCTTGGAGCTTTGGCTACGACACGGAGATTTTCGATCACAAGTCCGAATAGTTCACTATGCCTTCCTGTACGTTATAACAAGCAATGCCATTTTCGAGTCTTACATTCACATATTATGGCTGTACTGTGACTGCCACACACTTCATTCCATCGTTTCAACCGAGCACAAGGTCAAGCGCGAATAATTTCGTTAAATCGAGGAAGGATGCTCTGTAGTGGAAGTGGAGCGTAGTTTCACCTCCAATTTTTCTTTCGTGTTCTCAGTATCATACGCTATTTCAAAATGCCACTCTTTCTCGGAGAATCAAAGATCAGTGTAATATAAATAAGCTTCGTTTGATATCTAGTGAATTCCAGAATGAGCCTTGTCTGGTATAGAGGTATCCCAAAGTAATATTTTATAATAGATTGAAGTATTGCAACATTTTTTGGTGGATATAAACCGTTTAACCCCAGCAACACTCTGCTTTTTTAAATTATTTACTACTGAGCAGTATTTAAGAAGGATGCTCATAAACATGATGAACAGGAGTTCCTTAAAGATCAAAGTGACAAGAATAACAACAATGTTCTTCAAAAAATGACAAATTGATATAATAACAGCAACATCAATGACAAAAATGGCATCAAAATTATATATAAAACATTTAAGAGGGATAAATCTGTTTTATGTTTTATAAAAGTTAAAATAGGTCAGGTCAGGTGACGTCAGCTCACAGAACTGGTGGCTGGTGTCAACCAGAGTCCAGTTTCTTGTGCAATTGGACTTCAATGTTCTCAATGAGCTTCGATATGCGCAAGTGTCTGAATGTGTCTGGTAAGGAAAATGAAACTATTGAATATACGGAACCTAATCAAAATGGCCCAAAAGGATTGGCAAAGTGGTTGATATGAGCTTTTTGCTTTTACAACATCACCGAACACATCAATCTCTGCTCCGCTGATACACTTCCACATGCCCACACACAAACTTTTTTCTTTGGGAAGCAATCTACGCTCCTGAATGTACTAAATATAAGCAGAAACGTCAATTTGGATAAGCATTTTTTACAAGTTAGAACATCCAGTCATCAAAGTCACAAATTAAAACAAGTGTACCGCTTTTGGGCATTTATATAATACATAATGACGGAAAATATTATAAAATGTTGGGGAAAACCAACTAAAATAATAGAAAGGCGTTGCATTTAGGCAAAATCTGCCATGTGGGCAAATATGGGGAGGGCATACATGGTCAACGTGCGTCATTGCGTGTATTCATCAAAATGGTCAACCACTATTTTCGATCTCCAAATTTCATTTGCAACATTTGAATCAAGTGCTCTTGACCGATTGAGACACCAGAGGCCTACAGTGTAAGAAGGTCTACTCGATTCGGCTTGATTCGCGAATCATGTTACCTGACCTTATCTGAGCTAATTTGTTTTAATGGACCAGTGTTTTCACATAACTTGTATCTAGACGCGTCCGACTTTGCATTTTTTCGAATGTAGAAATTGTTCAACATGACGACCTTCACGTGTCGTATTCAATATCTAGATGATCGTGATCCATTTTATTGCGATTCTGTCTCAATCATGGAACCTATGCGTCCGCCAATGTATACATTTCTATTGGAAATACCGTTGAAAGTTCAACTACCAGGAATACATAAATGCTTGCAAGCTCCACATCGTGTAAATTGTGAAACCACTCCATGCTTATTATTTTTGTTCAGCTTGAAGATGCAGCTCTGCAGCTTTGTCGGTTCGCTCAGGCTCAATCGGAATTCGGATCCTACCTAGACTTGGATTCCAGTTTACAGGAGCAATGGGAGGATCTTGAGATCTCTTCAGATCAGTAAGTTGAATTTATTCTAGCTAAATATCACTGTTTATGCACTATAAAATGTTTTTTTAATGCTTTTGATTTACATTTATGGTATAATCGCACGCAGTCCATGCGAACCATATATGGTTGATCAACGATATATTCGATCACCATTATATTGGTGATCACCACTCCAAGTCCTGGGGATTAAGTTGCTGGTTACAATCACTGAATAGTAGGTCTTCGTGACCATGGGGTTCACCCCGCCTACTGTTCATCACAAGAAAGTGTGTAATAAAAAATAAGCTGCCCAGTTCACCGACCCGGGTCGGCTGTTTAGATAGCTCTAGTGAATTACATCGAATCGCGCAAATACGGTGAAGAAAAATAAGACTATCCCTTCAAGAAGATGGACAATGTGTGACCAACGGTTTGTAGTGTGATCGCTCTATGATTATAGAGAAAAGTTAAAACGTTCCTCGTAGGAGTGGAGACCTACAAGGAAACCCAGTCCGCACAGCCGTCCTATTCGAGTCCTATCCGAGTTCCATGAGAGTCCCATTGGAGTGCGTTTGCGTCATAAGCGGGACTCCAATGGGACTCGTATGGGACTCGGATAGGACTCGAATAGGACTCGAATGGGACTCCATGGGACGGCTACCGAAAGGAACGCCTCACATTCCATTAAGCGCTGCTGCTCGCGCATGCTTACTTACTTACGAACTACATATGTATCTAAATTTATTCCCTACTAATGTTAGTTTATCGTGCATCATCCTAAATGTTGAATAACGAAATCCACGTATGACGTTTACCACTCGAAACCCCTATTTCAATACAAGAAATAATACAAAGGGCAAATTGAGATGTGCATTTGACGTAAAAGCTATAGAGCATTTGCTCATCGGCCATGAGACAAATCTTCTGGTTGGTTTTCTTTGTTACACTCTCTTCTGTGTGTCTTTTCCCGTGCCTTCTGAATCCATCTTTGTATTCGCTAACATACTTTGAGGCGAGTTTTACCCGGGAAGTTCTTTTTCATGGTGCAATGTACAAAGTGGTACACAGTTAGATATTACAGCACGCTTACCGACTACCAACTTCGCAACATAAGTAGATTACTTTCCATACTTGTTGTTAGTACCAAACATACGCATGTGAAACTAATTCATTTAAACAAACTACACGCTGATTTAACCGCTACTAAAATACGCAATTTCAATATTTTTCGGTATTTAATTTATCACCCCAGTAATTTATTGGGTTCTTTTTACGTATTACATCACAATTAAGTGTATGCAGTCACGACGGGATTCCAATAAGACTCCAATGGGACGGTCCTGATTGACGAGTCCCGACGGGACTCGAATAGGACTCAAATAGGACGGCTAACCGTCCCGCTGTGCGAACAGGGAAGTTTCATAAACTTGCAATCAAACTTATGCCTAAGTATATTCAGGGGGATTGACGGGCTCTGGTGGTTAGTGTACTGCTCAATGACGAACGGAGGTCCTATCTGAAACGAGAGACAGTTAGGAGTGCTACTGGTCAGTTGTGTTTTATTGCGCTCGTACGTAAGCAATAATCAACATCGCATAAACTTGGTTCATAAAGCCCATGCTACCGCACTGTGTTCCGATGACGCCAATCGTTACAAAAACCGTTTCAGACAGCCAGGACGCACAACCAAAGCATTTAATCATGCTTCCAGCATTTTAGGTATATAGAGGGGATGGAGGGGTTCTCCGCACTCACCGCGACAGAGCCGCAACCGAAGCTTACTTGGCATGGGACCGACAGGTGTAGGTGAATGAACTGTGACAATGTGTGTCCGGATGCATGAGCACTGTTTGCTGTTAGGGAGCAGTACCATTGTGCCCTTACCCGACGCCGGTCCTCGAATATGAGCGATTATTCGAGAGAGATTCGTATACCGTGCGGCGATGGTGGCCCAGTGGTAACATCTGTTTCAGCTTTTACGACCATTATTCATGCACTATCGTGAGCCGTTTTTGGTTGTTGTCTTTTGGCTGCCCATTTGGATAAAAATGAAGAATGAAGGTTGAAATGCTAAAAGCCAATTCAAACAGAAGATAGAAAATTAATATAGACTGGTATCAAAAAAATAATGAGTAGATGCATGGGTGCCACTGTTTGCGCCACCCAGCCATATCGCTTAGTATCTCTTACCATAGATGACCATGATCTCGCAGTCCCCAGCCAGGGGGCCTAACGGAACCTATGTGATATGATATGTGGTAATGTCACCAAATTATCACCCCGGGGATGTGTTCAAATCCCACCACCACCGCCTAACGTTCCCCATCTGTGTGTTAAATGGCAGCCCTTTGATTGGCCGCTTCCCCATCATGAAAATTTATCGTTGTATATTCAACAAAAAGAAGTAAAGGAAATGGGAATGCCGCACAATAACATGATCATCTACGCTTCCTCCTCGGGACTTGCATGCTCGCCAATTCGAGTATGTGCTTATTTCCTATTAAATTCAGTAAGATACAAATTTTAAACTTTATTTTAATGTTAAAAAAGGAAAAGGCTTGAAGTGGTTTCATAATGTTCCAAACGAAGGTATAAAACCGTCTCATTCGAGTGCTGTCCTAGTCCCAATAAAGTCCGTTGATCTCTGAATTAGGATTTAGTTAGGATTCTCTTTAGTGGGCCTAAGGTGAGATTCCCCCAGGATTCAGGTAATACTCGAATAGCACTCAGGTAGGACTCGATTGAGACTGTATAGGACGACCGCTTTTCCATAGTGCATTCCTACTCTGGCCAATAACAATAACAATAACAACAACAACAACTACTACTACTACTCCAGGATCAAATTCAGTTCAGTTCAGTTTTTACAACGAATAACCATGCACTTTCGTGCGTCGGTATTGCTTGCCCATTTGGATAAAAAGGCAAATTAAGGTTACATATCAGTTTTACTCACACGTGATATTGTACGAACTTTAATTTTTACCCAATGAACCGGTCCAGTAGGGGCTGGATCAGTAGAATAAGTTACTTAGTTTTTACCGTTTCTGCTGTACTCTGTGAATAAATACAATACCTGTCAGGTTGTGTCAGGTTTCACAGGACGGTAAATGCTTCCGCCAACCAATCGTCCAGATTCCTGCTCCAGCCTGAACCAAGGCTCTTTTGCTTCTTGTTAACTGTTTGACAATGGCAGATTTCTTCATCCAGACTGGCCTCCTTTTTCGGGTGCGTATTCGAAAAGGAGACTATTTGAAAATGGAAAGCATAGAATTCCTACTGCTAACATTACGCGCCCTAAAAAGTTTCTGGATAGAGCCTGATTCGGCCCCCATTCAGTTTCTTTCTAAACTCTTCTACTGTCCTACAGTACAGTAGTGAAGATGGGAGTTGATTTCACTCATCTATTACTCTACTCGAGAAGAAATTGGATTTAAGGTTAAGTCTTTTCCTAGGCTTCATTAACCTCAGATGATGCTCTCTTGTTGACTCAACTGGTGCTCGTGTGAACAGGCTTTCCGCCTCTAGCCATGCCAGACCCTTCATCGTTTTAAAAGTCTCTATAAGACCATCTCTAAGGCAACTTTACATGGAGAAAAGACCTAGGGTCTTCACTCTCTACCCCTAATTCCAGTAATCATCCTTTGCACCTCGATGCAACAGATGTACTTCCTGTATTAAGACACTCAAGTTTGAAGGCAGTATTTTAACTACGGTATGACTATGGTCTTTTCTCGACGACAGAGCTGCCTCCAGCTATAATAATTGGCCCCTCGCTTTCTGTGCGGCCACCCAGCACTGGTAACTAGGCTTAAAGTCCTCGTGGACTAGAATCCCCAGGTTCATCATTCGGACAACTCGAGCAAAGCCCGTAGATTCCCTCCTGGTGGACACTTGGACAGGAAGCCCAACGGTGTTTAGTGCGTGGCACTTGATAACGTTCAGTTTCAAATCCTACGTCTGTGTCCAATAAACAATGTTAGCAAAATCAGCTTCTAGTAGGTTCAATAGTCCTGAGTTCACTAGTTTTACGTCATCCGCGAAGATGAAGGCTGGAAAAGCTAGGTCTAGAACCAAGTGGGTAATGCACTTCAGAAAGAGCACCGGGCCCAGCACTGAACCCTGAGGTACCCCAATGGATACATTGCCAACGGTGGATACAGCTTCTCCCACCCAAAATCTGTAGGTCCTGTCCATGAGGAACGCTTCTATCCACCTAATGAGATTGTATTGAATTGTTATTGTATTATAAATGACTTATGCAGGCGCCTGTGCCTATATTTCAGTCAAAAAATGTGTTCAATGTGATAAAAAGTGAAATGAAAATTCATATACAACAATGATAAAAGTTAAAGTTCATCATTGAAGGTTTAAAGTGAGTTCGTAGCAAATCTTCACCGTGTCAGTGAGATTACGAGCCATATAGGGAACTGTTGAGTTGCGATAAATGTTTATGCGGGAGGGTGAGCAACGGAAATTGGATTGGGTTGTAGCGTGGGAACGGCAAGCAGATAAATCGGGATTGAGCAGATAGTTGGGTTCATTTAGTATCTTATGAACGAAAATCTCACATAAAATGATATGAAAATCACACAGTTTTCTGATGAGAATGTGTAAAGGAATGAGAAATGAAAGAATGAAAGGAAGGAATGGAACACAGTTGATAATTGCTAAATAGCAACGAAGAGTAATGAAAATAATGATCGAAAAATAAAGTATGTCAGGAAAAATACATCGATAAACAAAGGAACATATAGTTTCATGTTTGACTAGAAATTGTCGGAGCTTGCGTATTTGGAAGGATAAGCGACGCCGTCTACCAACACAGGCTAGCACATGAGAGGACCAACGTAGATTGCTATCTATGGTGACTCCTAGCCTTCCTNACACTAACTTTTTGTCCATCATCTAACCTCACTGTAACTTCATCTACGGAGAATTCTCAAACAAAACCATTTTGAGGAAGCCATACTGGATGGAGATAATGAATCTAGGTCGCTCTACACATGACAGTCATTCTCTACTCAAGTTATATAATAAAGTTCTCAAACAGCGCATTTGTGAAGAAAAAACATGATGAAAAAGAATTTATTTTAGTGATTTGTTTACTCTGACTTATACGTCATAGCTTACCCAACTAGGATAGGAATGGGTGGTGATTACATGAAAAACGATAAGTAAGCACGATAAGTAGATATTGTTTCCTCTTCTTGTTTTTTGTGTCCATATCAAGTGAGTTGGTAATGGGATTGGACGAGTCACAAAGGAGGGGACAGAGAACTATGAGAGACAGTGATTTTATGGTGTTTTTTTGCATGTTTTGTGTGTTTATGTGCGTGTGATTGCTTCTGCGACTCCAACGTACGGGTGCATAGGCAACACCCAAACAATAGCACTTTTGACAATGGGCGCAGGAGGCAAAAAGAAAATCACTAGTTTGACCATATGAGACAGGAAAACCTGGACTACGGCGAATAACTTATTACTGCATCTAGATGTGGAACAAGTGTTCATCTAACCGATCTTCATAATCTTAAACCGTGAAATAATAAAAAAATCCCATTTAGTACTATTGACTATTAAATTGAGCATCTGAAAGCTGTGCTACGAACTCCTCTGAATGTAAGGTGGATTCATTCTTTTGGCCAGCGTCCTGCTAGCTTTGGAACTCATCAACCGTTTGTACTGAACCACATGGTGGGAGATGATGTAAGAATCAGTTTTTTATTTCTGTGTTTGAAGATTGCGAATAGACGGGATTGTAAATGAAGACAGGTGTTTCACAGCTTAGCGGTTATTCGGTTTCAGCTTTTCACCATCGTCCACCGTCGTGAGGTGATTCTGGTTGCTATGTTTAGGTGGTTTTTGGGAAAGGAGGTAAAGTAATGCTGCTGCTTGAAGGACGCGTATTCTGCATTCGGATCTGGCTCTTAAATAAAGGTTGATCGGATACCTCCAGAGTTTTTATCACGCCTTAGTTGGATGAGCATTCTAATTAATGAGCCCCAGGTTTTAATTATAACAACCGGCTAGATAAGCCCTGAAGTAGCGAGAAACATATTACTCCAATGGTATTGAAGTGGTATTAAACCGGACGAAAGCAAAGCTTAACATCTTCAAAGCTGTGTGGCTGGGACACCGTTCAGGTCTTAGACCGTGGGGTTCGATGAATGTCACTTTCATGTCATCTTCTCGAACTGTTAGCTTGACACTCGAGAGCCAGCATTATCTTTGCTATTTAGCAGTAAACTCAGCATCTAGGCGGCCGGTCTTCAGTATTTCCATCTCGGTGATACTTTCAGTTTTTAATTTAACTATTTTATTTACTATTTACTGGTCGACCAAATGGGTAAGTGCAAAACAGAACTGAAAATGAGCGCACGAAAATACTAGGTTAGTTGTTGTACCAACTGAAACTGAACGTTTCACTCACAAATGGCCTCCGAATAAGAAGTACCTCGCAGTAAATACGAATAAGATCAATATGTCATCATAAAATATGGGAAACCCACCCCGGATTCGTAGCTAAAGACTGAGCCGGTCTTGTAAACCCTAATCTGATAGCGCAGTACTATTTTTAGGTCTTAGACCCAGGTGAGTGAAATGAGTTCATTTTATTGTTTTTCAACCGATACGCCTCTAGGCGAGTACTACGACCCCTGTCATTCTGTGATCGCTTAGTTCACAGTCACATCTAATCTGGTCAGTGCTGATTGAATTACCATGCTGCGGTCAGGCCATGCTAGGATGATAGTGGTGGTCCGAGTCTTTTTGTGTTCTTCACTCATGACCAACTTTCGTCGGCTGATTTGGATGAGGTTGTTACAAGCCAGGTACTTAAACTATGGACGATTGGAAAAGGCCCAGATCTCCAATTGGTTTCCAAATAATAAAAGATTATCAGTTGGAAAATCCAGTTATGCAGGTCTTACTTGAAATTAGATTCACAGAGTGCATGTGTGCACCTTCCAATGGACACGGGCACGTTCAGTCACTCCGGTGTCTATTCAGGCTCTGTGGCTTTTGGAACCAAAAAAGCATTTTTGTGATTGTAATCACTGGGAGGTCGTTCGACTCTCTTTCGCTCACCCTGCACATCAAATATCCAGGATTAGAACCAAAACACAAGACTTAAGCAACTTGATCTGGTGAGACTTTCATATTGAATCCCATTTTGTGTGTGATAATATTTTGGTGACGTTCTAGCTAATCTACTGGTGCAGATAGTCGCCCTCTAACAGAAGTAATTGCTCTACACCGCCTCCGATGGCTGGGTCACGTATTGCGTATGTCTGCCCATCGACTTCCTTTCCGTGCTCTCTTTGCACGTGCCGGGCAAGGCTGGAAGAAGCGGCGCGGCGGTCAGACCATGACATGGGCTAGAGGCATGAAGAAGCTGGCTTCAGCTTTGGCTTCGGTTGGTGCAGCCCGCCTTCCAGGTTGGGGCCCAAGAGATGAGGATTGTCTATGGTTAGAGACGCTGAGAGATATGGCGCAGAATAGAAGTCAGTGGCGTGAATGCTGTACGATCTGTCTATCAAAATCCCGTGCCCCTTAAGAAAAACGAAGCATCAAACAACAAAAAAGAATTGCAAAAGGTGTACGGTGAAACACACAAAAAATTCTGTTATCTTGTATTTTCCATGTTTAACTGTCTCACCCACTCTTCACCATGTTCTGTATCTTAATCCACCTATCCC